GTTAAAAAAGTTCATTTTAATAAATGCACACACCATAATCTGCAACGGTATTCATACGTACAATGTATACACACCAATCTGTAATGGTATTCACACCATACACACACTCCAGTAAGCAAAAAGTACTTATGCTGCCTAAATGAGACCTAAAATATGATATTCAAAAGCCATTTACAAAAAATCCAGTGAATGACCTTTACTTAATGTCTACAAAGTAAAAGTAAAACAACACGTCACAATGAAAGTATATTTGCTATAAATACATTTTTCGTTATTTTAGGCTGTTCCAAACGCTCCCATATTTTTTTCCGACGAGTTGCGTGTTTGTCAGCCTCTTCTTCGATGCGATTATATTCGTACAAATGATATGCACAGCTACTACTGTCGTAATGAACCAATCCACCAAACATACCACTTCGACAGCGTCTAGTAAACAATATGAAGCGTTAGCTATTTTATTCAATAATTTACGCACATTTGAATATTATAAATCACTTTTTTAAACCTACAGTAAAGTTTGCAACAAAAAATTAAGCATACAAGGTAAGAATGGCATTGAACTTATTTTTTAATAGAAATATGCTAACAATGGAAGCACTACATAATGTTTAAATGGAAACATCCTAACTATTAAAGTACTCAATAATTTTTAAATGGAAACACGCTAAGTATAGTAGTACTTGACTAGTAATCGGTGGCATATCCAAAATGAATGTTTTACACTTGCTATGTAAATTTCACTGCATCATTGCTCATTCATTAGAAATCTATTGTTTTTACAGTGAGTGAACACAGCAAGATTGAGATAGAATGAGCAAATAAAAATGCTGGCTATGGCTGAGATTATTATAAGATATAGCTGTGAATAAAATATATGTGACTTTTATGCTAATCATACTTAGTTATAGTATATGTTTTTATTATGCTATAGCTACAACACTCTCTATGATACCAGTTGTTTCCAATGGCAATACAATTTTATAACTACAAATGTCTAAATTGCATCACATAATTAACATGCAACTAATGACTTCTGACAAAAATTGTATCATACTGCTCAGTTGGTTCATTTTATGACACTTAGTGAAAGCAAGCTAGCTGAAGAGAAACAAAATGTTGATAGGAGAGTTGCAGCATTATTAAACAGTTCCACTCTTTGGCATGATGATGTACTGACCTATATCAGTGGATACATAGCCAAGAAAATTACAAGTTGCATCAAGTGTGCTGAATGTGCAACTGCCTTAACCATAGAGAATGATGACCAACCTCTCATACCTGATCACTCATACTGTCGTGAAGGTTCATTAAAGTCAAGCTTAACATCTTTCAAGACCTATGGCAAGCTTACAAGTCCATCCTCCTCATTGGTAAAAGTAGTAAAAGCAGCAGATAAAGCCCTTCGCAAAATGGTCAACAAGTGGAGTCAGTTGTCAGAAAAAACAATCCAAGTTATGCAACGAGATGTCCTGCAAGAAACTAAGCCAAATGTATTTCAATCGCTATTGCAGCATTCTACGGAAACTCGTGCACTAGATGAGAGCTTTTGCGATGGCCATATCACCAACATCATCAGAAAAATAGCATACATGTACAGTAAAATATTTGTACACCAGTTTTCCAAAGTGTACTCTGAGAGAATCGTTAGTAAAGGATCTCCATCTAAGCGGCAAAAGATGACAAAACTCATCCTTTTTGGAAACGATTAAGACTCTGTCTGTTAAGTGTCAACACATACAGTATTTGAAGATTGAAAGAACGAATAGCATCCTGAAGTTGACGTTATATAAAAATTATGAAGATTAATTTTCCCATCTTTTTGTATGTATTCAATATCATGTATTTCAATGTGGACGAACAATTGTGGGAACTAAAGCAGACGAAGTTCGTTTAGTTTGGTAGACAAACGCCTCGAGACAACCAAACGACCAATTTACACAACACTTTGCAAGCGATATTTTCGCCTGTATTCCAATAATAAATGTCTAATATGGCTTCAAAACATTATTAATAACGCTTTGTTTCCAATAAAACTTTGATTGTAGGAGTTTGAAAACACTGAAACGAAGTAAACTGCAAAAAACAACAATTGCCTAATAGTAGCCCTAAGTTTTTTGCGCGGTTCCCGCGCCATCTTGGATTTATTACGAATGTCACGCTGCCGTCTTAATAAGTCTTATATTACGTCACACTCGTCAGCGATCTAGACCTACTATATCTATGGTGTCGATCCGCGTCTCAAGGCGTGGGGACTAAGCTTAGCTGGCCTGGCAAGGCCTGGCCTCTATGCCACACTCTTGCTAAAGCTCCCTAACGAGGACGCTGAAACTAGCTAATTTTATGACGTCATCCAAGGTACTCGTGTTACGTGGTTGCCGTGTTTCCGAGTCGTGTATTCAATAGCTATAAAGTCACTGCTGCAGAAGCACAGCTATAGCCTATAAGCGTCTAAAAGCATTGCCTTTGCACTAGTAAGAGCAGAAAAACGGTAGCTAAATAGTTGCGTTTTAGCCAATTGTACAAATAAATCAAGCCTTAGCTCTCTTATGAGTCTTCACTTTATGCCTTAATATGATAAAAGACCCGAGGCTAAGGGAAGAGAGAATTTGAGCCATCCAGTGCTTCAACATTTTGTTCGGGTCACTTCGGACAAGAGAATTGGAGCTTCAATTTAGTAGTTTGCCGTATCAAAAGAACGATAATTTTCCAAGGCTTAAAAAAGATGAGATTGATTTTGTATCTTTCCGAACATCCATGCTTTGAAATGAAAATCCGAATAATTATCGCTCAAGTTATCATTGCCTTTCGATTGTTTTATCACATATCCCGGTATAAAGTTTTTGTCAGAATTATCTGACTGAACACTCAATTCTGATTCCAATTCATAGCATTCTTTGCAAGAGATAATTCCCTCGAATATTATAATAAAACAGCGTGAAAGAACGTGTATGTTTAATATAAGCTAAATATGCCCGAATGCCGACTACCTTGGATGACGTCAATATACCTTCTAGTGCCAGTTTCTTTTGTATTACAGAAAACGACGGCGATGTTCCAAAAATGCGCAACTTCAAGACGCCATAAAAGCTTGTTGATTTGATCAAATTTGAAAATCTTTGCTCAGAGAGGCTTAGAACCATAGACATATTTCGTATTGCTAAAAAAAATTGGTGAAAGTGACACTTTAAGCGATCATCGAAGACATGCCTGTTTTAAATTATATTATAATATAACTAAAGATCCTCTCATAAACTGTCAAAATTCTTCCAGAAGGCTGTTTCATCAACAACGAATTACGGGGCACACGTACATTTGAAATTTCTTTAATAAAATCTTCTTTTTTTAAAAAAAATATAAACTAAGTGCATGGATGCCTGTCGCAGAGGTATGAGTGACACACTCATTTCATAACATCAAAGCTTTTTTTGTGGTTTTACGATTGCGATGTTACAATAAAATCGGTGCATTTTGCTCTGTATGAGAAATTGTGATGCGGTATTTAAAAATATAAGCTCGAATGTCAATTGCTTTCTTTGTATGATTTATAACTACAAAGCAGATAGAAGCTATCCTCGTCATATAACAAACGTAAATGTGAGATTTGTACTTTAAATAACGCTGCCCATTGGTGTATGTAAAAATAAAGTATAAATCGGTTTAACTGAAATTCTACAGACTGGTAGATGCTATGCCTTGTAAAAATGCCAAAACACGTTGGCTAATGAGTAAATGAGATAATTACGTTAATCCTGTTAATCAAACAATTGTTCTTATTAAAATTAAAAGACAAAGTTCTTTATGTATTTCAAAATAAAAGTCCTTTTTGTATTAAACCAAATAACGTAATACTTTGACCACATAATATGTAATAAACCACAAATGATACTCCTTTGAAGTTTTTCGTCACTTTGGCAATTGCCTTAAGTGATCGCCGTCGTATTCTTGGTTAGTAAAGTGAGTGAAATTTACTATAAACAATATTGCGAAAATAGCGATATTCGACTTTGAAAATTCTTTTGATCGAGTTCGTTTAGTATTTATTATTTACAATGTCGCAACTTTTGACGACAAACGTTGGTTTGTTACAACGAATATTAGCTAATATCAAAAATGCGTATCCATTACGTCTCTTCAGGACTTAAACTCAAAGCGCTACTATGCGTTAATGCGTTCAAAAAAATGCGTATCGAAAACATTTGCAGCCTCTATGTATACTAAACATGCTACAAGATAAAACTACAAAGTTCCTCACTCCCACGATTGGAAACAAGTTCTTCCTCAGGAACTTCACATGCCAAATGCATGTGCGTATACTTTAACGTAAATAGTTCCCTTTTTACCATCCTGTTACGGCTTCAGTAAGGCTTTTGCTTTCAGCAAGAGAATAAAACTTCCCTTGTTTTTGTTATTTAACTTCCCATATTCTATTTTAGGCTGATAAGTTTTACATTCCTATTATTATTGATATCACACAAACACACATTGCGAACACTCAATTCACAAAAGTATACGCTTATTTAATTGTCGATCCTTTGACTGAAAAAACGAATTTTAAGACACAATTTAGTTGCGACTTTTTTGGAGTACGTAGGGAGTACGTTGGGAGTACGTAGCGACTTTTTTGGGAGTACGTTTTGTGGGAGTCGTAGGTCGTAGTATGTCTTTACCAGGTTGTATTGAACAGTAACATATAAGGTATGACTTGTCATGTATTTAAAAGGAACAACCAAAGATTAAAGTAATTGAAGATAAGAAAGTATTTTTTTCACATTATAAATCAAAATTCATGCAAAATGCATATACTTATACGCCATGTCGACAGTGAAGTAGCACCTATGCAAGTGTTTACATGAAGATGATTAAAGTCCATGTTGCCTTAAAGACGCTCTGTGTAACATAATTGTGGCGCCTAATTGCATCGATTTTGCGTAATGAAATAATTAGCTTCATCCTGTCACATGAACGTACGTCTAAACAAGGGAAGTAAACAGTCATATGCACAACTATATAAGGCCCAGACTTAGTTTCGTTTCATCATTTGTCTGCAAGATTTCTACTAAAGATGGCGAAATTCAACTTTGGAATTTTTTTCACTCTCGTATTTTTCTACGCTGCCATTCAAGGGTAAGTACTCGTTTTACGCTTATTCCCTTATTCTTTAACACGTAAAAGTAGATTTTTGAGTAAATAGTCAATCACTCATGCAAGTATTTCATTGTTGTAACGATGTATAGATCTATGATATTACTTTCAAATAAGCACATTTTTAAAAAATAATTAAATATAATTGAAACTGTACTTTTTTGATATTAATATAACGCGATTTTGATAAAAAATTCATAAATTTCCTTTATTAAAGGCTCATTCAGATTAAGATAAAGAAGCAAATAGGAAAATACTTATCTTGTTATTTAAATATTTCCTCATAACCAGGAGTCAGGGTTTGTGCTGTAATAAAATCAAAACATTGGTTGAAAGTAAAATGGATGCCTACAAAGTATTGTGTACAAACAATACTTCACTTTCTCTTGAATGCTGTGATGACATCAAAAAAGAAGTTAAATCGTATGAAAGAGCATATGAATCATTATGTACGAACAAAACATACCGTAAGTAAAAAAGTACTTTTTCTAATCTATAAACAAATTATCCTGAAGAAAAGTTTATTTATGCATTAGCTAGCAATTCAATTGATTTTTCTTTGTTTCACGTCATCTTGCACGAAATATTTTAAATTATCAGGATTCCGTCCATTCAACGCAAACTTTACAAATCTTGGAGCAACTGGTCGTCAAGGTCCAACCTCAATTGGTCAACATTATAATGGTCAAGATCATGTAAACATGGTTAGAGTATTAAAAGGTATCCAGTATTGGACTGTGCCTTACACTGGAACTTATGAAATTACTGCTGTCGGTGCTCAAGGAGGTTATGATAGATATGGCTCTACTTACAGAGGTAATAAACAAATTGAATTTTAAATTTGTTATAACGAATGGTTATGATCATGATGGTTGAAACAAAAATATTATTCTTGTGCATTGTACAAATAACTCTCTTTCGACATCACACAGCAACCTCCTTATACCCAAAAATACATAAACTTCCACATTTAACTATGGTTGAATTCTAAGAAAACTAATTTACTAAAATATATCAACCAGATTCAGTTTGGCAAAAAGCAAAGATTGACTTTAGCTCACGTTTCTATTTACATGCATGGGAACTTAATGTAAAACTTCTACACAATCCGTGTAAAAAAATTATTAATTTTAAATGATAGCAAATAAGAAGAACAATTCTTTTGTCACCTAATAATTTTCTGAAGTGTCGAGAAGTTGCAAAAATATTTAAAACAATTTAATAAAAAATCACAATTATATTTTCATTAGTAGGAAGACTAACATAACAACAAAACTCTTAAAATTGATAAGTACTTGCTCAATCATAGTGGGGTTCACTTTTGTTCTAATGCTAAATTTTAAGCTTTCCTTTCAACAAACAAAACGAGGAGCAAAAAATATTCATGTCATACGCATTTTACTTTCATGAAACAACAACGTGTTAGAAATACGTGAGCATTCTACAAAGAAAATTCCACCATATAAGCATACAGAACCAACCAGTTTAAAATATGCTGGTTTTATACCATGTAAAAATTCAATGTTAAATTTCATAGCTAGAGTTTAATTACTTTAGCGTTCTTTGTAAATATAACATTTCTAAACGATAAATTTCTATTTTATGTAATTGATAGTGAACACAGGAATATAAAGACTATGTCTTTTTTAGGTCGTGGAGCTTACATGAAAGGTGACTTTGGTTTAAAGAAGGGAGAGGTTCTAAAAATTCTGGTTGGGCAAAAAGCACCTGCCAATACTCAAAGCCAAACTGCAGGAGGAGGTGGAGGTTCTTTTGTTGCTAGGAACAACAATGTTCCACTACTGGTTGCAGGAGGTGGTGGTGGCTTAGAAAACCTGAAAAAACGTCTAGAAAATTGTGATGCCAGCATAAAGACATCGGGAAAAAATAATAAATGTGTCACACCTTGTGGAAACTGGGCTGGAGGAGTAAACGGACAGGGAGCAAAGCAGGCAGATACAGGAAATTCAGGTATAATATCAGATTTTACAATATCTCCTTGTATCATTGAATTAAAATACATAGAACGCCATCTGAAGCAAATAATTGAAGGAAAACCTTACATCAGACACGCGAGATTTTACACCAGACACGCGTGTGTAGTTTTTCGAGACTTTCTCGCGGAATAATATATGACTAAACACGCGTGTCTGAGGTAAAATCTCATGTGTTTAGGGTAAAGTCACGGCTTTAAAAAATCTTGACAATAAACGTTCCACTTACTGTAAGATGCATTTTTGAGTGCAACTAAATTGACGGCAAAAAAACGTGAAACTTACATTATTACTTTCATGTTTTTGTAGGAGGTGGGGGAGGTGGATTTTACAGCAATGGAAGAAGTAGCAAACGGTTTGGTGGTAAGTATGGAAATGGAGGAGAAGGAGGTTTTGCTTTTATAAATGGAGGAACAGGAGGACGAGCCTTGTATAACAATGCCGTTGGTGGATTTGGAGGTGGTGGTGGAGCATATGGTGCTGGTGGAGGACCAGGTGGAGGTGGGGGATACTCTGGTGGAGCATCAGGGGATAATGTAAATGGATCTTGCGGTGGTGGTGGTGGATCTTATAATGCAGGAAAAAATCAAGTGAACAAGTCAGCCTTTAATGACAAAGGAGACGGATATGTCCTTATCACTCGAAAGGGGTAGATTAAATCATCTTAAAGTGGTGTATTTTTGGTAAAAACACTTTAGTATCTTGTTGTATAGTTTAGAACTGTTCAAGACAACATTTTTCGAAATATTAGTTTACCTATCTGTTAAGACACAAATTGTGGAAGTCGACGTGAATCATCACGATATTTACCTGTATCTATAAATACGAGTAAAATTTTACGTATTGACAACATTCTTGTCAAACTACAATTTTTATGTAATAAGACTTCATAGTTACATTAGGGGTAAGTTTTATTTTTATTCAATGCCATAGTCTAAATTTTGATTGTGAACCTATTCTTTAAATAAATATTTTCAAACCTTAGCTGGTTATAAAAATCAAGCCTGTTTTGCAGTCTCCATTTTGGATAATGTTAATGAGGAATTTTATGATATTTTCTGAGTCATTCAGTTCGCGCCGTAGTTTTTGAAAGACTATTAATGGACAAGATGTTGTTGATTAACAATTCTTTTATATGTTGTTTTTTTTCATCTTCCGTGGCAAAAGCTTTTTAAATAAGAGCTTTGAGGGCGGTATACATTTTTCATTGCTGCAAACATCCCAAGTAGTTGTTAAGCTCATAATTTTATTGCTAACAATATGGTAGGAATGGAACTATCTCGAGCTCTCACTATATATATATATATATCAAATCCCAATCTTCAATTTTTATTGCCGAAATAAATATAAATCCCAGAGCATCGACGACATTTCCGTCAAGCAACTTCGTGAATATCTCAGGAAATACATTTCAGTCCGAAAGAAAACGAACAACCGAAAATACAAAACAATTAAGTTCCTTCGTAAGAAAGAAATTGTCTACGTTGAGTTTTAAATCGTACGCACTCACCTACCATGAAGTAGTTTACTTAAATTATGTATATAATTCACATGTCGTCGTATAAATGGCTTAGATGCAAATAAGACTTCGAAAAGGCTTATTGCAAAAGATCAAACAAAATATTTTATTTTTAAAATACATAAAATTCAGTCAAAATTCATCTATATTGTGCCTACGCTATATACTAGTCATTCAGCGGTGGATTAAAATTTATATTAGAAGACTAATAAATATAACGCTTAATTAGGCTTTATTTTGTTATAACAATAAATTCATGTTATGAATAATTTTTATTGATTTTTAAATCGTCGAATCGTTCGACTCCCGGTCTGCATTTAAACTTAAAATCGTCCAATGATGTTTCCCTTTAATCATAACTCACTGCTTTAAAGGAACGCACGACAAATAATTGTTAAATGTTTATTGAGTACTATTGGTTTTGTAAAATTTTAACGCTTGAGAATTAAAGCAAGCTAAGAATATATTCTAAGTACGAAATCATTAATATTACAGATAAAATAACCCATCGTCTATGACGTATAGTCATTATAACTTTATTTATTTTTTGTGTATCATACCTTGAACTGATTACGACTTCAACTTTCTTGAATTCATCTCATAAAAACATAATACGCATCTTTTAATTCCTTGTATAATAAATGTTTATGTGCAAAGGAATTTGAACAATCGTAGGAATATATTGTTATGTGAAACAAGGGTATTAATCTATATGATTTTTATTGTTGTTAATCATAACACTTTTAAAATAATATAGAGAGCATTGATTGAGCAAAACATTAGATGTATATTTGAATTATAACTTTGCGATGTTTTTATCGTAGTGCATATGCTGGCCTTAATACTTTGATAATTTCCCTAGTACTTATAACTAAATGTTATTTATAAATTAAATTACTTATAGTTACATGATATTAAAGAATTAGATTGCACAACAAAAGTGTAAATGCTGATATATTTTTAGCATAATATTGAAATACCGGCTGAAAATTGCAACACACAAACTTGTTTAATTATTCAAGAGATTTGAAAGAAACATGAACAAAACAAAAGTATTCTCTTCGTTTTGTTATATATGAACATGAAAATAGCAAAACACTCACTGACGGTTTTAATTCAACAACCTGAAATACAAATTTTCTTCAAATAGTGGCAAACATTGGATATACTGACTACTTATGAGCAATACACAATTTTCTTAAAACTTTGCTAAAATATCAGAACGCTACCTCCCCCAGCGACTTTTCATATTATTTAGCTTCCCTAATACGAAGTATGTTCTACAACCACAATGCAAACGAGAGTCTTCACGTCCTCCAATATATTTTGACCTGCTGCATCCAAGCCATTTTCCTCAACCAGGTAATTCAATAGAAAATCTATAGTCATTATTAGAAGGAAATCTAGAAGCTTTCTTGTATGCGTGAGCATATTTTATAGAACTGCACAGAAGTTTTTATTCTGGTTTTTATTGGGGCATGATTAATATATATATATATAAGTAGTTTAACTATATTGCATGAGAAAAACTTTTAGGGTACAACTTATTGAGGACAATTTACGAGGCACAGGAAATTGAAGATAACTTATACGGCGGTGTACGTTGACAAAACAACACCCTACAAGTTTTGGAGACATCAACAAAGCCTATTTGGCTTCTGTACCTTTAATCTGTTTGGAAAAACTATTGTGAATCATTATTGGAATCACGTACTCTAGACTTGGGGTAGTGTTCAGACAGAGCAGATAAGTTAAACTTGTTAGCCTACCGTTTGATAGTATTGAGACTCTTATTGTTATATTACGCGATCGATGAGAAATAAATAGCTTCAGTGATAATAACTGGTGTCACACTATTTTTATAACATGTGGAAATACTACGAAATTTCGTATTGGTTATTTCAGTCATGATTATTTGAAACCTGTGCGTGTCTCAAAATGATACTATTATTTGAAAAAAATTAAAATACATACATAAATTACCCTAAATATGCGTCCTAAAATGTTACAATATTTCACATATGCACAACATTTGTTTTGATCATAATGAAATTCCTGATTGGACCGTCAAAGCTCTACGTATCCAAGCTTTGTAATTTCGATATCCATTTTTTGGCTTCTTCCTCCGTCGTAGCATACAAATTATACAATCGTTTCTCTGTACGAAGCTATAGAAGCATATAAGGCAGTGAAAGTAGTCTTTAAGAAGAATAAGTATTTTACATGCATGATGGTTTGCATCGGTTTTATTTCAAAGATTTAAAAACAGGGTTCAATGTTATCATCGTAAAATATTAAAATGCTTTTTCAATGTCAAGCTAAATCAACTAAAGTGGTAAAAAAAGGACATCTTTAAGCTTCAGAGAAAATTTAAAAGTTCATAAAAGAGCTTATTACCATTATTTAATGCTAGCCACGCTTACATCGTTCACAGAAAATAACAAGCAGGATTAACCAAATAGTTTTTCATGTAATAATTTAAACCAATCAAAATTCGTGATGATTTAGTGCACCTTGAAGCTTCAAACAAACAACACAGCGATGAAAGATACACAAATATATTTACTTACGTTGAAAAAAACTTGCTTCTCGTTTGCTAAAAATATCAACGAAATTCACAATTTTTATAAAAAAAAAAAACACGACAATACAATAACATCACTTTTACAATCATGTTAACAGTTTTATCGTACAATTAAATGCGTAATTGTTCCATTTTTAAATATATTATATATTTTTATATATAGAAAGTCTTGTACACTCTAGCATATGTAAATTGTTATAGTTTAACTTGCCAAAAAAAATATACGTCATCAGATTGACATGTATTTTGCAGGTGATCGCAGCAATATGATACAGGCAGCTATTCAAGTTAAGTTACTTACAAACGTAAGTTACTTAGTAATCAAAAGATTGTAATCTTGAAGCTTATTTGTTTCTCACAATCAATATTCGTCCAAGGTTACCTTAACTTGTGGACTGATCCTGTCAGTCGGGTGTAGCTAACTACGCTAAGTCATGTCACTCACATGTGCATGCGATTGTAAAATTTGTATAGTAATTTCTATTTGTAAAACAGTGTACTAGGGTAAATGTTTGCTCATTAAGATGATCAAGAAGGGAATGGATAAGGACTCTAGTTTATCTTTTCAAGAAGGAAGCAAAGTATAGGTCTCATAAAAGCTAACATAGCCTACAATACATAGTTTAGCCACTGGATTGGCTGGTTTATTTCAGCTTTGTAACGTGGTACTTACCACATAATTTAAGAGTAATGTGTTACTACCATTTAAGAGTAATGTGTTAGAGTTACTTACCACTACCATTGTTTTCTTCTATTTCAGCAATATTGCAAACCACGCAACTTAATATTAAAGTTTAAATTGAATTTAAAAAAAAATTCTATCAGAAGAGCATTCACTATACTATAAACGATTGATGATATCCAAAACTTCGCGAGACAGTGCATTGCGGTAAGTAATAGGTTGCTTGAGTGCGACCAGGCAGGCAAGTCACCAGGCCTGGTGTTTGAATAGACGTTTCAAATTGACTTATAGAGTCAATTTGAGCGTATTTTCACAATTAGCGTATAGAGTTAATTTAAGGAAGAGACTGGGTTGAGTGAACGCCTGCAAATTAAGCTTGCATTGGTCTAATATTCTAAGCTGTTTAGTTATAACTATTTTGAAGATATATTTGCAGGATTTTTTAAAGACTATGACTCCGATGATTCGCAAGCCAATTGCAATTTGCAAATACGCACGGATTTAATTAGTATAAATAGTTATTGCGGATTTAATAAAAACGACAAATTTTTTTAAAGTAGACATGTTTTGACATCTCATGATGCAATCTTCAGAGTAAGTGAAATAATAAACTTTAACAACGCCTAAATAATAAATTTTAACGACGCCTAAATAATAAATTTTAAAATTCACTTACAAAGAATTCACTGAACGTATCTTCATTTTTTGCTTTTATACCCCGATATGCAATTTTTTTCTGCTCTTGCTTGATGGTTTTTCTGCATCTATCAAATTTACTGTAACCTGAGCTAAAGCACAAAAAAATACAAAAATAATTTGCCCTGTTTATCTACATAACTATAACGTAGTAAACACTTGGCAATGAAAGAACACGTCATTGACGCTTGCACTCACATATGAGCTAATTAATTCTGAAATTAATTCTACCTTTAGACTCATGGCTTTGCAGCCTTCGCCATATGCAGCCTTTCGGAGCGATTATCTTAGAATAGTATTACCTCAAGGACAGCAGCTACAGTATAAATGTATATAATGTAAAATATTTACTCAACCACTAACACTGATCTTTAAACACTGGTAGCCAAATATTGGCAGAATTGAGAGAGACGTCCTGGCTTGCAGCAACATTCATGTATTGACGATAGGACTTTTTGTCATCTTTTGTCTCAATCTGATAATAATAACGGTGAAATGCTTCGTCGTCTTTTGTTGT